CAAGAATTTCTCATTGCCTCAGTTAGTCATTCAATTCACTATCTGGCTGAGCTGATGAAGTGGAAACCTCTTGTGGGTTAAGGGGATGGAGGTCAGTTGGGAACCCGAAGAAGGCATGAACACAAAAGTGGCTGTTGCAGTATAGGAGCAAAAGTCCTTCTTGCCCAATATCTCATCTCCTGCAGTTAACCAAAAGCTGATGCTTAGGCAAGAGTCTAGCAAGTATTTCCTCCAAAGATGAGCTTTCAGTGATGGTGTTTTAGGGACTTTCTGAAGCCAGAGGTGGTTCCTTTTTGTATTTGATAAACCTCAGTGACTTCCCTTCTGTGTACTTCTGCAGTCTCTTCTCTTGATGTCACTTGTTTGCGTAGCATCTACAGCAGTCTGAGCTAAACAGTATCACAGCTTGCTTATACCTGGGTAACCAAACTGAAACTTCTTTATCAACAGCAGAACTGAGTTAGAGCTCCTCAGTTGTGCCAAGTGCTGAATCAGTGATCTGTGTGGCCACTCTTTGAATGGGTCAGATATCCCATCCCCCAACTAGAATATGGCAGAATCAATAGTTCTTTCAAGGTTTTTTTTTTTTTTCTTCTTTTTTTCAAACTATAACTGGTTGCATTTCCAAGCCAAAATTATCAACTGTGTCAGAAACTACTGTGGATGAATACAAGTAAGTGGGAAACACAGTTGTGATGGATTGGAATGGGTTTCAAGTTCTGTGATGGCTTTTTTTTTAAGAGAAAAATTTAACTCAAGGTGATTCCTTTGCATTTACGTAGACTTACGTTCTGAACACTCTGGACAGTCTTTGTATACAGAGAGAAAGGGGCTGAATATACATGAAACAATTACTTCAGAAATATTGAAAAGCCATAAGGTTCTCTTTGGGGTGCTTACATGAGTTACAAATAGGTATTTGTGGTGCTTACATGAGTTTGACATGTAAACATATAATGTGCAGCAAAACCACAAAGCAGTAGTAATAGAGAGAGATTGGGAGAGACTTGGGAAGGCCTAGGGGATACAATATTAATGTCTGAGTAAGAAGCCAGACTCAGTCATTAAAAGAAAAATTCCCCACAGACAGGATTGTTAAGACTGTTCTTGTTTGACATGGTTATTAATGTGGAGGAGGAGGGACCAAGCTGCACACTAATGAACTTCACAGACAATCACACTCTGGGAAGATCAGAGGACTCTGGTGAGGAGAGATCATTGGCCAAGTTGAGTGCAACCCTATCATTATGTCAACGCTGAAACTTCTGAAAATTGCATCCAAACCATTCCAAAACACCAGTGCAGAGACCTTTCAGTGTTGGTGAAAATTGGAAAGATGAAAAAGCCTGTTTTCTTTGCAGTTCACCAGATAGTCATTGCATAATGTCATTTGAGGTAACCTGAGTGCTTGGGGTATAGGGTGGTGGTCAATGGGTACTTCACCCCAGACAGTTCTTCCTCTTCTCTGTACACTCCAGCTGGGTTCCTTGCTTTATACCTCTGGTCAGTGTCACATTTTTGCATCCGCTTCTGCCAAGTCCCTTCCTTCAAAACTTTCTGCCATCACTCAGGTCAGAAAATCACTGGGTTTAGTGCAAAGCCTGAAAAGCCATACCCCTGCTCAAATCAAGCATTTTTGGTGGTGTAACCAAAATCAGTAAAGTTTAGAGTAGAGCAGGTATATGAAGATATGGACACCACTAGAGAGATCAGCACATATAAGTGATGAAGCATATATCACATGCTTCATCTGCCCCATGCATGTGATCTGCCCCAGAGTAGCAGGAAGCAAGGCAGAGACTCCTGAAGAGCTGAATGAACCACACAACCTTTGACAGCCCAAACTGAGACATGGTGGTGCCATGCATGAGTTTGTACACTCTCAGGACTGGATTTTTTAGCTTCCTAATGGCTATATGCTTCTTGGCCCCTACTCCAAGTGTGTAACACCTATCTCCAGTTGAACGCTGAAGCAACTCCAAGACTTGGAAGAATGGCCACAGTAGTTGCAGGAGAGAAAGAGACAGCAAGAATCACCCAGACCGGAGGTGTTAGTTCCCCTGTAGCAGTTCCCCCAGTTCCTCTGTGTCTGTCCTGCCTGGGTGTGAGGCATTGTTTTTTGTTGCATGGCGTGGGCATGCCTAAGCCTACCCGTACCCTTGTTGCAGTCAGGATTGAGCAGAAGTAATACTAACTGCAGTAGTTAGAGTATTACCTTGGCAGACCCACTGCAGGAGCAGAAAAAGCATCACATGGAGGCAAATACTGCAGAGACTGGCAGTTCTACTTGCTGCCCAGGTGGCAGGCAGAGCCTGTAGCTTGGCTGGCTGTAAGGAAGCAAACAACATGGGAAGAAAGCCTCCCGTGGAGGAATAGCTGAAGTTCTAGACAAGAGAGAGAGGAGAAGTGCCTGGAGCCTGAAAGGAGCACAGATTTCGGAGGCAATTACTGTGTGCCTGCACAGCATCCCCCTGCCTCCTGATTTGTGGTGAGTAAAATATAGTCCTTTCTCCAACTCTATTCAAATTTACGTTCAAATTGAGATGGGATTGAGAGTACATGGCAACAGCTTTCCTTGGTGCTGAATTAAAGCTGCAATTGCCATATGGTGCAGCTAAATTGACTGGAAGGGTAGAAAAGGTACAAGGGGAGAAGCAGTGAAAGTGTCCTGAGCACCAGAACAGCTCTCTGCATCTTAGCCGAGTAATAAAATGAGACAAGTGGGGCTGGATGAACATCCAAAAGGTCCTGACATTTCAGAAATCTTTTGCTGTTTTGCCTTCAATCGATCTTTACTAAGCCTCAAGTATGAAAATAAGTACTTAGGGCAAAGGTGAATTTCCCATTAAGAGTAAATTGCTTTGATGCTTGTCAATTTGTTGAGATTTTTATAGCATGGAAATGATATTATTTCCCAGGCTCCTGGCATGGTCCTAAAGGTCACTTCTCATAATAGAGCGCTCTCCATTTTTCCCCAGCAGTTGTTAAAAAAAAAAAAAAGGCTTAAAGATGTTGCTGCACCAGGAAAAAAGGTCCCAAGAATCAATTGTTTCACATTGTTGAAGTTTTATTTTAAAGATGGAATGAAAGCAGACTGTGAAATTGTTCATGGCTCCTTTACATGAACACTATTTTTTTCTCTGAGCACCGCATAGCCTGCCACGGATGCGTTTACCCTCCCACTAAGTAGAGATTGCACACCTTGGTCTTGCAGCCCGGCCCGGCCCCTCCAAAAGCAGACGCTTTGCATAAAACACATAATAATGAGTATTACAGTTTCATGAAGACAAGTCATAACAGAGAGCGGTCTGTCCTCAGCGGGAACTGGATCACGAACAATTCCTGATTCTGGCAGGACCACAACTTAACTGTAGTGTCACCTATGCAGTAATCTCCTTCCAAATATGTTTTCCACCAAACAGCAGGCATGCTATGAAGTAAGCTAATGGAATACCCCACCGCTGAGGTACCTCAGCATTTAGGAGCCTCGTGGCATTTACAGAACGCCAGCAGCAGCTCTTGCGCTCATAGCTCCTCCGGCACGGAGCTGGCACTGCTCCAGGAAGGTGCAAACTCGCGGAAACTCCGGAGCCCGGCTGCGCGCTCGTGAAGAAACTGGGTAAACCGGTGCAGGGGGGACGCTGCCACGCCGG